GCAGCGCTAACCCCCCCCTGTGCAGGCTCCAACTGTGCTTGCTGGTGCTACTCCCGGCCCCCCTGCACCTACCATTGCACCTTCTGCACCAAACCCCCTGTACAGGCTCATGTAGTGCCTGCCGGTGTGACACCCCGATAACCGTGGCCCACCCTTCCCTTCTCCCACGTCTAGCCCCCCTGAGTCGGCTGATGTACTGTCAGCTATGGTGTTGGCCGATCGTGACGAAGGTGGCGAAACCAACACAGTCACCAACAAGCCGCCACGTAATGATACTGCACCCCATTGTGCTTCGTAATAGGTGTATTTTTTCAACCCACCATCCAGTTTTTACTCTTGCAATCTCTCTCTCTAATGGTCCTTGTATTGATATAGACGGCAAGTACAAGCATGCAAGTCATAGAGGCATAGGTTACACACATGCAAAGCACAAGCACCGCAGATCTACAACTCCACCAGGGGCTCAATGACCGCAAAGTAGTCCCCAAGGTGCAACTCGTCCCCAATTCCCCCCACAGGCGGGTTTTCTACTGCCGCAGCCTCTCCAAGCTTGAGCAGGAGACCCACAGATTGGGCCCTTTGCAGGGCCACCGACCAGCGTTGCCTGAACTGGTGCAGGAACTTTGCAGCATAGAACGATTTGGAGTCGGCGTTGAAGTGGCGCCGAGCTGCAGTGTCCACCAAGAGCTTCAGGAAGACTGGCACCTCTGCGCAGGGGCAGCCGTAGGTGTCTACCGCAAGTGGGAAGAACTTCACTGTCTCTGGCAGGGTGGCGTAGTGCTGGATCTTCTTGTCCGCTTGCTCCCTTGCCGCCCAGCCCCTGCCTTTTTGCGCCTCTGGATCCCTAGTGCTAATAGGGTCAGTAATGGTGACGTCGCATACGTAGACTGCCCCACTGCTTCTGTCCGTCATTGTAAAATCTGCCGTCTATTCCTCAATGGGGCAGTGCGCCGATGACTCGCTGTGGACAATGAACCCCGCGTCTTGGGCCATGCTAATGCAGGCATCGCGCAGCTCGTTATGGGTGTTGATGCGATGCTTGCCCGTGCCGCAGCGGAGTAGGTGGTTAGGGAGGCGGGGGCCCGTGATGGCGGTGTGATCAGCGCAGTTTTTACTCTTGCAATCTCTCAAGCAGTCCTTCATTGATAGGTTCATAGGGGTACAGGCATGGCAAGAACAGGTGCAGAACATCCCTAGTACTGCGAGCAGCCGGTAATGCTTGGCAAGGCCGAGGTGGGCACCACGGGTCGCCAGGCTAGCAAATCCTTTGTGACAGAGGGTCAGGAACTTGGGGGCAAGTGAGGGGGTGCAAAACACACAGAACAGGCCCACAAAGCAAGGCCCACCCGAGCCAGGCAAGCAAGGCAAGGCAAGGCAATCCACAGAGGCCTGAGCCAGAGAAGCATTTGGCTAACACTTAGCCAGACCCCATGCAGTATCTATCCCGCTCACTGACCCATCACCCCATCCATCTCATCCTCCAGGACTTGCCAGAGATCCCCTAGGCTAGGTTCCCAGGGGTCCCTGGCAACCTGTGAGAAGGCTGCCACGTCCCCTATGTTCGACTTGTTCAGGAATGACGAGGCCTGTGAGCGCTGGAGCATAACGCTGAAGCGCTGCCTGTAGTGAGCGGTGAGCCGAGCAGTGGTGGTGGTGAGCCTCCCCTGGCGGAACCTGGTTTTCGCCGTCGAGGTTGCTAGCAAGCGGATGAACTGTTGGGTATCCGTAGCCAGGGCACCGTAGGTTTCCACTGCCAACCCGAAGAAACCCACGTAGTCAGGCCGCCCCTCATAGAGCCTGTGTTTCTTCTCTGAGGCTTCTCGTGCCGCCCATCCAGGCGGCTTCCGGGCGCGCTTGTCACGACACTGCAGCACTGGGTCGGTCACTATCACGTCTGTGACCCAAGTCTCATTTGACTCCTTGTCCCGAATAGCCAGGTCTCCTCTCTTCCTCAGCACCGGTGGGGAAAAGGCGGTGGTTTCGTGGAAAACCGTGAAGTCGGCCTCCTTTGCCATCCGGAGCAGAGTAAACACTAGAGCATCATGTGTGCGGACTACATCTCCTCCGTGCCCACACCGTAAGAGGTGGTTTGCCAAGCTCGTGTCCGTGATTGCAGTGTTGGCTCGCTTGCACGGGCAGGTGGTTGTGACTGGCAGAGCCATTCCGAGGCGGAAGCCAAGTGCCAACGAGAACTGACCAGGGGCGAAAGTAAGGTCAGATCTCGTTGGGACGGCATGGAGCCAATCCCCCGCGCCTACCCCTTGCAGGCTGATGAGCCGCAATGCGTGCCCACGGTCCTTCCCTGGGCGGTCTTCTATTGTGTCGGCCAGCAGCTCCGCCGCTCTCGTCTCGTTGATGTGGCGGGACAGGGTTAGTTGAAGGTTCCCCTGTCCCGCCGGCTGCTCCCTGTAAGTGTGCAGTGCCGCCCGTGCCGCTAGCCCGGCCTCCAGAGTTGTCAGGGGGTTGATGCTAGGCGGGGCTGGGGTCCAATCAGGGCAGAGCAGCTCGACCGCCCTGCTCAAGAGATAGGCCTCTGGCAAGTTCAACTGGCTCAGCAGCTGCTGCGCCGCTGTGACCGAGGCGATGTAGGCCGCAGGTGCCTCGGAGACTGGGTCAAGAATCCCCAGGCCTCCCAGCCTGATCGGCAGACTCCCCTGGCGCCATAACAAACTCCTCTCCAGCTCATCTGAGGGTACTCGGAGCTTCGCTGCTGCTAGAGCCGTTGCCATCAGGTTCTCACTCCAGCTCCTCCACTCATCTCTCCCCAGGACTTCCGCCGGTGTCGTCCGCAGGAAGTAGGACATTCGGCGGGATATGCTCCTCGTGAGGATGAGCATTGCACTCTGCGGGTGGAGCTGCGCCACCAGGGGCAGCGGGGCCGACGCCTCAACAAGCCGTGTTTGTGCTTGGGTGGTGCAGAAGGTGGGCACTCCTACTGGGCTGCCTAGGACTCGGATCCCGTCGGTGGTCTGCTGCAGGCCGATGGGAGGTGGCGTGCTGCCGTCTTCCGCCAACGACTGTCCCCAGGCCGACGATTTCGCGATGTTGCAGCGGAGGCCGAGTGTTGCCAGCTCCCTGGTAATGGCCCCAAAGGCCTCATAGCAGGCCTCCTTTGGCCCCACGATCGTTATGTCGTCGGCGTAGGCTACTATCGCGACTTCCGGTAGGAGGGTCGCCGTACTTAGCAGGCATGGTTGAATAGCTGCCGCGAAGAGTAGTGGACCGAGCGGGTCCCCTTGACGCACTCCGCGTGACGAGAGGATTTGGTTCACTCCGAACCGCTCGTCAACCAAGAGTGGCGACGGTGCCTCATAGAGTGTTCGGGCCAGGGGCATTAGCTGCAATAGACTGGACTGGGAGAGAGCGTTGAAGAAAGCCGCCCGTTCGACACTGTTGAAGGCGTTTTCTATGTCCAGCTGCAGTGCTACTCGTGTGTCATCGTCTCTCAGTAGCGATCTGACGGAGTGGACGATACACTCCGCGCCACCCGGTATCGCTACCCCAAACTGGACTGGTAGGAAAAAGGCCTTAATGTTCTCGGTTAAACCACGTAGTGCCGCCTTAGCTACAACTCGAAGGATGGCCTCCCCTATCGCAATAGGCCGGACTCCACCGCCTGGTTTTTCTAGAGCGATCAACCGTGATGGCAGCAGCAGATCTCGGGTCGTTTGTGTTTGAAACGTGCTCAGCAGGTACGTCACCACCTTAGCGAGTAGAATAAGCACCTCCCCGTTTGCCAGTGCCGGATCCTTGAGGTGTTCAAAACAGGTGCCAGATGGGCCGGCTCCAACCCCGTTCGGGCATTTCTTCAAGATTTCGCAAAGTTCGTCTGTTGATACACTGAGGGTCGAACGGTTGAACCCGGTAACCGGTCCTGGTAGCGAAGTTTCGGCCGCGGGGTGTTTTGCTTGAAGTGCAGTCAATGTTTCTGCCGTCGCTTTCGCGAGCGGTGTAGTTCGTAACGCTGCTACCGCCTTGGAAATGTTTCCTTTTCGTATCAATCCTTCCGCCCTCGCGCATAAACCTGCGTCATCCGGCTGGTGTCGTGTCGGGTTTTCATTGTCGGGGATAACACATGCGTCGGTGTACAGAGCCTGCCAGCTGCCGAGTTGGAACTGGTGCAGGCGCAGCTCTATTTCTGTCCACCGGCTGCCTTCAACAGGTTCGGAGGCCGGGCGTAGCGTCAGCCTCGGCAGATACAGCAAGATCGCCCATGCACCTGGGCAGTCAGGATTCTTCGAGAGTCGAATGAGGGGCGCCAGGAGACAGAGCGAGTAACTTTCCAGGATCCTGGGCGGCATTCTGCGGACCAAGAAGGGTTGATCCCCTTTTTGGAGTGGGTATTTATCCCACGTGGCTGCCAGCTCCCAGATGGCAGAATCCTCTGCCAGGTCAGACGGTGATCTGACCCCAGAGTCGCTCTGTCCCTCGTTGGTTGCGTCCCCATTTTCTCCCACCACACTTGGGTTCCCCCTTGCTCTTGGCGCTCCCTCGTTCCCAGTTCCCGCACCCTGTGGGTTATCGCCCCGGGGGTTTACCCCATTGTTCTGGGTTCTCCTTCGCTCCCCAGTTGTTCTCGTCATGTGTGTTCCCTCCTCCTCCTCCAACGAGATTTCCTCCGATGGTTCCGCCGACTCAGCTACATAATCACCCCCCTCATCGGTGTTTTCATCAGCTTCGTCGTTTTGATTCGGTGTATGCTCCGCTTGCTCCGATCGCTCGTGGCGTTCCCGCCACGTTCCTGTTCTCACGAGCGCGGCCCTTCCGCCGACAATTGGGCCTCTCCCGCTGATTCCCCTTCTGGCCCCTCGCACTCCTCCCCTTGCTCTGCGGGCCAATTCTCCCCCCCGAAGGCCGGTGTTCTGCTCGACTCGGCCCGCCCGTTGCGGTGCTCCCGCCGGGATCCACGGTGTCACCATCGGCGTTGCCTGGCCAGCCCTTGGCTGGCCCCAGGTGATGCATTGCGCCCTCGTGGCACTGCGGGTTTCGCGCCGAGGAGTCTATTGAGCCGTGGCGGCAGCCGTGGTCGTTCCCTCCTCTCCGCCCGTCGAAATCCGCAATTCTTGACGCGGGGGTTGTTGCATTGCAGGGTCCGCCCTCGTGTTCCCTGTCACTATGGTCGGTGTGGGTGTGGGCCTGATCCCGTCGCTTGCTTCCCCTCTCCCGTCACTTGTTCCCGCAGATGGCAAATGACGCTCTTGCCCTTGTGGCAACTGCCCTTGCAGAAGCCAGCCCAGGAGGGGTCCCGGGGGACCAAGTCCCAGCCCTGCTCCGGGCCGCCTCGGTGCTGGCCGGGCTCGAGGCGCCATTTTCCCGCGGGCGGCGCCGGCAGTCCCGACAGCTCCGCGGCCCTGTCTACCGCTCCCCCCCAGGTCGTGTCCCTGCGTGTTTGCGCCCTCGGCAGCTACAGAGGTTTCGGCGTCCGCACCGGCGACCGGCGCGTCCTCCTCGGTCCGGGCTCCGCCCTGTTCCCCTGTCACCACAGTCGCCACCGCAGCCGGTGCAGACGCCGTTACAGGCTCCGGTGACGCCGTCAGCTCCACCGCCACGGTCGGTTCCTGAGCCACTGGTGGTCCCGTCTCCCCCGGTTGCCGTGCCTGGGGGATGGGAGAGGGTGAGGCTGAGCCGCCGCCAGAGGCAGCGTCAGGCCCGCCAGGCTCAGCAGCAGCCGTCGTCTCAGTCGCCTCAGCAGCAACCCCCTCCAGCCCCGCAGCAGCTGCATCCTCAGCCGTCGCGGCCACCTCTGTCTCAGACCCCATTGCGCCACTTCCCCCTGCCGCCTCGGCCGCAGCCGCCTCGCCCCCCGTCGTCTCCTGTTCCTACGGCGCCTCCCGATGTGCAGTTATTCCCACACGTTCCACGGGATCCTCATGTTGCCGCGCATGTGGCAGCGACTCCTTTCCACGTCGAGCAGCGCGTGATGCACGTGGGGACGTGTTTGACGTTGCTGTCCTACGTGCTGGACCAACTCCATGTGTGTCTGGCGCGGCAAGGTGTGGAGGTTGGGGGGATGTTGCCGTCGGAGCAGTCAGCGGCGGTGTCCGCCGCAAGGGAGATGCTGCATTATCTCCCCCTGATCGGGCTTGTCCAGGGCGCCCCTGGTGCTGCTCACGGGCCCGGCCCTGGGGCAATGCTGCGGCTTGCTGAGTCTGCGTAGGGGGCCCCTCTTGGTCTTGTATCACCCGCTGCATCCGTCCTACGCTGGATGGACGGGAGGCTGTGCTGAATACTCTCCAAGTAGCCGGCTTGTCCCCTCTGCTTTCCCCCTTCCCAGCGTGTTTAGCCTTGGGCTTCCCCATGGCGGTGTAGGCACGCCCGGGGGTGTTGCTTTTGCTGTAGGGCCCTACCACTGCATGTTGTATCGAATGCTATTATGAATCATGTCATTGGAATTTCCTTGCCGCACCTCACGCGCGGCCGCCGAAGGCGGCCGGCGCGAGCCGCCGGTTTTGGAGAGTGAACTAGACTCACCAGTGAAGAATGAGCTCACAGGGATAGGTTTAGGGGCTTTATACTAGGGGGAGTACTCTAAAAACGGCTAAGGACTAGATCCTAGGGGAGAAGGTCTAAAAACGGCTAAGGACTGAACTAGGCTATCCCTCTCTCTCTCTCTCTCTCTCTCTCTCTCTCTCTCTCTCTCTCTCTCTCTCTCTCTCTCTCTCTCTCTCTCTAATGGTCCGTATATTGATAAGCCAGAAGGGTACACACATGCAGTGAGAGACAGCCGGTACTAACACGCAAGGTAACCTAGACTATCCAACCCCACTAAGTCACCTAGAGCTCAAGAAGAGGCTCTAGGACGGTAAAACAGTCCCCAAGGTACAATTCCTGCCCTATCCCTCCTACAGGCGGGTTCTCTGCAGCCGCCGCCTCTCCTAACTTGATCATGAGACCCACGGATTGGGCCCTCTGTAGTGCAACCGACCACCTCTGCCTGAACTGGTGCAGAAACTTCGCGGCATGATAGGATTTGGAGTCGGCGTTGAAGTATCGCCGAGCCGCCGTGTCCGCAAGGAGTTTCAGGAACACAGGGACCTCCGCACAAGGGCAGCCATAGGTCTCTACGGCGAGGGGGAAGAAGCCCACTGTCTCTGGCAGGTTTTCATAGTGCTTGATCTTTTTATCCGCCTGCTCCCTGGCCGCCCATCCCCTTCCTTTCCTAGCCTCCGGGTCCCTGGTACTAATAGGGTCCGTTACCGTCACATCACACACCCAAACCGCCCCACTGCTCTTGTCCGTCATGGTAAAGTCCGCGGTCTGCTCCTCTATGGGGCAGTACACGTTTGTTTCTCTGTGTACGATGAACCCCGCGTCTTGTGCCATGCTGATGCAAGCGTCGCGGAGCTCATTATGAGTATTCGTACGGTGTTTCCCTGTGCCGCAGCGGAAGAGGTGGTTGGGGAGGCGCGGGTCTGTGATAGCGGTGTGGTCAGTACAGTCACAGTTCTTCGGAGTGGAGAAAGGGAGGCCCAGCCGGAAGCGCACGGCGTTGCTGAAGTGTACCGGCCCGATGCGCCGAGAAGAAGCTACTGGTACCGCCGTCAGCCAGTCTCCTGTGCCGTAGCCAGTCAGTGAGAACATTCTCTGCGTGTGCCCAGACAGAGGATTCAGTCTCATTCGCCTTGTCTCTTGGACCTGAACCGCGTACCGACTCCCCTGCACTTTGAGGGCCAGCGTGTGCTGAAGCTTGATGTCTGACCTAGAGAGCCGTTCCTGGTCAATGACGTCGCGTGCATCTGTGGGCAGGGCAGTCTCGCACTCTGTGAGCCAGGCATGGAGCGGTGTGGTGACGTCCCGGGGCAGAATCATGTGGCTGTGTGCTCGGGTCAGTGCTGTGTCTGGTGCTAGCGTCAGGGAGGAAAAGAAGAGCGCGGCTTGTGTGAAACTGGCTACGAAGCCGTAGACCCCTTCCACGAGCGGGTCCGTCAGTCCTAAGCCACCCAGGGACGATGGGAGCGAAGCCTGCGCCCATACTCTCGACTGCTCCGTGCTACACGTCGGGACTTTAATCCCGCAGGATGTCAGGAGCGCAGCTAGTAGGTCCCGCCCCCACTGCGCCCAGGTGTCTCGTGGCAGGAGGTTCAGTGGCGTGGTCCTAGTGAGGTATGCGGCGCGTCTAGAAATGCAGCGGGTCAGTAGCAGGGAGGCTACTTGGGGGTCGGCGCGTTCTAACAGTGGCAGCGGCTTCGCCATTTCCTCCAGCTGCCCTGCCAGGAACTTGGCCGCACCCGCCGCTGGCCCCAGGAAGCTACCTAGAAGGCGTATCCCGTCCTGGGATAGCGGGACTCCTGGCGGTAGCTGGATCTCCTCGTCGCCTCTCGTGCTCCATGCCGCACATTTCTGCGGATTGTGTGTAAGCCCCAGCTGCGCTAACTTGCTCGTGAAGAAATTGAATGCTGCTACAGTGTCTGCGTTGTCCCCCAAAAACGTCACGTCGTCTGCATACGCCAAACAGAGAACGTGGGGGTGGGCATCTGCAGTTTCGCGAAGTGCTGGGTGGATCCCTGCTGCGAACAGTAGAGGACCGAGAGGGTCTCCTTGTCTCACCCCGCGTTCACTGTTCAGTGGGTGGCTGGCGAAATTCGAATCAAGGTACAGCTTCGACGGGTTACCGTACGTTAGCCGCACTAGAGGGAGCAGTGACGAAAGGTTGCTGTCGCAAATCCCGTTGATGATTGCTTGTCGCGAAATGCTGTTAAAAGCATTCGAAATGTCTGTCTGTGACACCACGCAGCGGTCCCTCGAGTCAACGAAGGCACGTGCAACGTGGATGTTCGCTTCGGCCCCCCCAGGTACCGCCACCCCGTACTGTAGAGGCAGGAAATGGTCACGTGCAGCTTCCCCAATTGCGGTCAGAGCAGCCTTGCCTGCGAGGCGCGTCAGGCATTCGCCAATTGCAATTGGCCGAACCCCCCCGCCTGGCTTGGACAGCGCTATTAGGCGCGACGCCGTCAGCAGGTCTGCCACTGGCTCGGGTAATTTGCCTGCCAGGATGGTGTTCACTAGGGCATGTAGGTGGGTGCAGACCGATGCGTTGGTTGCCGATGCGTCGCGAAGGTGTTCGAAGGCGGTTCCGGACGGTCCGGTCCCCACACCATTTTCGCACCGACCCAGAAGCTTGGCGAAATCGGCTTGGCTGATTTGCAGGTTCGGGCCTGGTGCCGTTGGCCAGCTCAGCTGCTCGTCATCGGCTCGGGGGTGTTTCGCGCGGAGTTCTTCCAAAACTGCTGGGCCAGGTGGGCAGACTGGGGTTGACTCGAGGGCCAGTACGGCTCGGCGGAGGCTTCCTCGCTTGGCCAGGCCTTCCGCCCTGCTGAGAACTCCCGTCTCGTCTGGCTGGTGACGTGGAGGCGGTGGGGTATTGTTGGCTTCGATCGTGTCAGAGTACAGCTGCCCCCATTCGCCACGCTGGAAAGCTCTGAGACGGGCTTTGACTTCGGGCCACTTCGGTCTTCTTGGCGACGGTTGGCGAAGTGTGAGCCGAGGGAGAAACAGCAGCAGTCGCCAGCCTGCGACTGAGTCAGGGTTTCGCGCGAGGTGTAGGAGCGGGGTGAGTAACACCAGCGAAAATAGCTGACACAAATTGGGAGGTAATCGGCGCGACAGGGATGGCTGACGACTGTCGCAAAGTGCCGCCAAGTCCCAGTCATCGATGGCTGCGAACAGGTCTGATCGTTTCGCCAATTCCCCTGGCGAGAAGTAGCGGGGGAAATGTGCTTGGTTTGCGGACGCGCTGCGAGAGCGCGCTGCCTGATGTCTCTGCTCGCGCCTTTGTGCGTTGCTCTGTCCAGGAGTTGGGATTGTGGCCGTCCGATTGATCTGTTGCCTGCCTCCTTCCTCATCCGCCTCATGCTCACCAGCTCGCCTCCCAGTCCCCAGCCTCTCTCCTGCATCATCTGTTTCCTCCTCGTCGTCTTCACTTTGTGGGAGCGGCTCCTCCCTATAAGAAGGGTCCTGTCGTTCCTCCTCCTCATCAGTTCTCTCCAGATTCGTTAAAGCCTGTCTCCCTGCCGCTTGGAAGCCATTCTCCGGTCCACCCCCTGCGCCGCTAGCCGTCACTCTCCCTCTGCCTCGCCCTCCTCGGCCTCGCGATGGTGATTGCCGGGCCGACCGATTATTCGCCAATGCACGTTGGCGCTGCGTCGGTTGCGTTCGGAAAGCCACCGCCTGCCTCCGGAACGGGGACCATGCCGACGGGCTCCCCAACGCTGCCTGTTCCGAGGCTCGAGACAGTAGACGATGAAATCCTTCCTCGCCCCGCACCGTCGTTTCAAGAGGCCTTGGCGTCTCTTCCTGTCGCGCCGCCTGTTCCCCTCGCGGCGGCGTTTGATGTATCTGCTCCGTCAGTCGTTCCTCGAGCTGCCGACCCTGCTGTTCCGTCAGCGGCCGCCGCGCGGGCGGTTGTTGCTGGCGGCGTGACTGACCAGCCGGAGGGGTCCGCCACCACTGACGTCCAGGGCCAGCCGGCGCTTCCCGCCTCTCCGGCTCCCCCGTCTGCGCCGCCTCCGACGCTGGCGCCTCCTCTGCCTGTGCAGGCGGGATCTGCTCCTGCGCTAGCCATGGCTGTTCCCTCTGCGCCTCCCGCGATTGCGCCCTCTGCACCGTCTGCGGGGGCTCCTCTCGTGCCGCCTGCTGATGCTCCCGTTGCCCAGCCGGGTGTTGCTCCGCCTGCTCCGCCCGAGGCGGGTCTGTCTGCGCCGTCTGTGGCCGTTCCTGGTGCGCCACAGGTGGCGAATCCCTCTGCGCCGACCGCTCGGCGTCCGCAGTCTCCTGGCCGTCGTCAGCAGCGGCCGCAGTCCCCAGCGCGTCAGGACGTACGCGCGACGTCCCGGCGCCGCCACAATTCTCCGCGGCGCCGCGGTTCTCGGGCGAATTGGGCGGCGCAACGCGACGACCGAGGCGGCTGGTGGGGGCCGCGTCAGCGGGATGGCGGCTGGGGGTCTGATCAGCCGGTGACGATGGCTGATCTGCAGCGCGCGGTGTCTGCTGCTGTGCGCGAGGAGCGGAACGGGCAGACGAGCCAGAGCAACTCCCCGCGTGTTGCTCAGACCCCCGCGGCACCTCCTCCAGCAGCACCTCCTGCCCTGGCAGCCCCTCGTCCTCCTGCAAACGTTCCTCCTCCTCATGTCCCCGTGGCTACGCATTATCCGTCCGTGCTGCCCGTTGATCCCGCTCCCCCATCCACAGGTGCGGCGTACTCGTTCTCGGCCCTACTGGGGCCTCAGCGTCCGGTCGCGGTTCCGGAGGTGACCCTTGGTCAGATCTGGCGCCTCTCGGAGGCGCTGCGGGTCGTGCATCT